TGAGGTTAGAAAGGATTAGCTGGAAACAGAAGTGGGCACTACTCATCCTGGTCCCAGAAGAACTTAAATTCCTCTTCTTAAGGAGGGCACTGTACATATTCAGACCAGCTATGTGGGCTGTAAACCTTTTCCTTAGACAAAATATTCCCAGTTCCTCCCAATAAGGTCCTTTGCCATCCTGACAAATCCTTTGTTCCTATTTGTCAATGTTCTTCTTGAATTATGATGATTAGAATCAAAAACTGCTGCCCACAGACTTCTAGTCTCACCAGGGTGGGATATAGTCAGATTATTCCTTTCTTGTGCACAACATAGCTTTTAAAAAAACAAACAAAAAACCCCGCCAAAAACAAAACTAAGATTATTCCTAAACCTCCCGCTTGTCTTTTCTCCTAAAAATCACTAGTCATAGTCTTGCTTTTTTTTTTTTTACTTTATTTGTCATGGGTGGCTTCTAGCTTGGGACTTTCATCTGGACGGTTTCTTTCTGCCTCCTCAGATGTTAGGATAAAGCCATATTTTCAGGTCAGTGATTCTCTTGACAAGGAAATTCTTCCTGATCCTGTAAGATCCATACTGTCTTGCCAAGAGTCCATCCTTTTGGTACAGAGAGCCAGATCTCTCTCTTTGACTTTTTGTGCAGCAATTATTAGCCTCCAGTATCTTCCTTTACCTTCTGAAGCCTTGAGTGCTAAAACAAAATCAAGAACTCTGCTAGACATGATTGTATCTTTCACTTCCCTTGGGCGAATCTTTATGGTTACTGGGGATAACTTCTAGGTGTTGTTTGTTTCTTTTCATTGACTATTTATGCATTCATAGCTGATGGTGGTAGTGAATCAGTAGGTTTAGAAATCACCTCTGGTCCAGGAAGACGATCACACTTCTGAAGAGCCACACCAGTTCTGCCTGCTTCCTGAGAAGGTGCATTTTTCTTACCTGTGTCCTGCTCTCTTCCTGGTATTGCAGGAACCCACAGCTAAGCAAAGCCACTTCTTTGGCGGAGCTGTGATTCCACTGGAGCTGAGCATCCCTACTACTTACTTAGTTTAAGGCATGCCCTGTTTCTTCTTCCTTTTGCACTTACCTTCTTTGATGTCACTGTCAAATTCTCTCCATCCTATCAGAGTTTTTTTTCTCTCTGGCTGTCGGCCCTTGTTGCACCCTCTGCCACAATTTGAGCTGGAGCATTCTCAGGTTGCCTCAACCATTCCATGATTAAAAACATCAGCTTGTTCTTAAGGAGTCACATCACTCATTGATACCAGTTTTAAGTTAGCCCAGGCCCTGAATGTCACCAGAACAGCTTCCCTTTGTCACCAGGGCCTTGTGCAACTTGGGGAGAAAAGAAATAAGAATACCCACTCTGGGCAGATGAAATACTAAATTTCTCTCCAGGAGGAGGAATTAGGAATGTTCCTGTCCCCTGGGTGATGAAGCTGTGGACCTGGCTTGAGTGGGGACTGGATGTTAGCCCCATCTTACTAGTGAATAGGATATAACCACATAGCAGCCTGGTATGAAACACATACCACCTGTATTAAAAAAAGAGACCATTGATTTTGAGGCTGCTGTTTACAGCACAGCTTCCCAATTTCTGGTCTTGGGAATATGCCTTCCATACCAGTTACTCCTGGTTTGGTTCTTTATTTTTTTTAATTAAGTACTATTGAGGTGTAATTGGTATACTATAACATTCATCCCATTGTTAGAATAGAGTTCAATGGCTTTTAATAAATTTACAGCATGGTTTAAATGCCACTGTGCTATTGCAATCAGTTCCAGCTCCTACCTCAGCACCAGGCAATCTCTCATCTGCTTTCTGTTTTTATAACTTTGTCTTTTCTGGAAATCTCATATAAATGGGATCCTATCTTCCTTGAGCTGCTTTCTTCTGCTAATTGAGTAGCAGTTCAAAACCCAACTGATGCATTTTTCCTCATCTGCCTCAGTATTCAGACATGCTCTTTTCCCTGCAACTTTTCTTTTTGTTGTAACAGCTTTACTGAAATATAATTGACATATATTACAAGTCACACTTTAAGGTGTGAAATTTGGTGTTTTTTAGTATATTCACTGAACTGCTCAATATCACCACAATCCATTTTAGAAACTTTACATCATCCCTCCAAAATACCTCACTCATTAGGAGACAATCAAATTACCCATAAATCCTAAGGCCTAGGCAAACACAAATTTACTCTCTATTTCTATGGATTGGTCTATTTTGACCATTTTATATAAATAATACAATGTGGGTTCTTCAGTGTCTGGCTTCTTTCACTTAGCAGAATGTTTTCAAGGTCCATCCATGTTATAGCATGGATCTGTATTTCACCCTGAATAATATTCCATTATATAGATGTAGCAGAGTTGATTTATCCGTTTTTCAGTTGACAAACATTTGGGTGGTTTCCACTTTCGGTGCTTATGAATAATGCTGCTATGAACAGTCCTGCACAAGTTTTTGTGGGGGCATATGTCTTCAGTTCTCTTGGGCATATACCCGGAATGGGACTGCTGAGTCAGCTGGTGACTCTTTGTCTCATTGTTGGAGAACCTGTAAGGTGCTTCCTTGATTGTCCTCTCTAGCCACCCAGTGCCTCTCGGTTTCTTGGGCCATTTCTGAGCCCAGCTTTCTCAAGGTCTGACTCTGTGTCCTCTCTCCACTCTCTTCTCTCCCATGAACTCTCCTCTTAAAGAATCTTTTAAATATGATATCTGATACAAATAAAAGAACATTAAAGAGAGCATTAATATCTATGTCAACTTTAATGGCGATGTGATAACTGTCCACACATGTCACCACACCTTACAAACTGGAACCTTAAAACACCTAAAATCTCTTCCTCATTCTATATGTTTTTTGTCCCCTTGATAATTTCTAACTCATTTTAATTCTGCTTTTAAACAAGTGTTCTCAGTTAAATAGTCTTTGAAACCCATTACATTGCTAAAATTCCCTGATTACTACAGAGAGATGAATTTTTGTTTAGAATGTATTGTAGATTAATAGCTTACATTGTTGACTATTACTCTATTTTATTATGAAGTCTTGGCTAAGAGCATGGCATAGAATTATAGCATCGTTTCTATAGGAAATTTATTCCACTTTGTATTCACTTCAGATGCTTTGGTTTTTTCCTACATTTCTGAGGCTAAAAGCTGAGGTTCCTGTAGTGTTCTCCCTCAACCCCACCTTTCTTTGGACTGAATTCTTTTAACCAGTGCAATTGGTCCCAAGGGAGATATGGATGTCAATTATTGCTACAAATTAAAGTAATGATTCCTTAACTGTTTATTTAATGTAATACTTGACAGGGAGAAACTATTTATAATCATGAGAACCAGGCCTTTCATCTTTTCATATTTTATGCCTGGTGTTTAGTGTATTGCTGTTGTAACACCAATTGGGAAGTGAAGAAACACCCCCCTCTCACATCTCCAGGCAGAAGAAGTGCATAGAAAGTGATTAAAGATGGGTATTTAAAATATTTGCAATTACATTTATCAGTTTTCCAAACTACATTGTTATTGAACATTCATTGCATTTTTGGAAGTTTGAAATATTTTCTTATTCCTATTATGTGTTGATGTCATTAAAACAGCTAGCTCTTAAAAGCATTTATTTTCTCAGACTCATTAAGGCATTCTAAGAAATGCGGTAACTTTTGAATGAGTTAACACGTAGCCCCAAAGTAGTTGACCGTCCTCCCGTGAAGCTGAGGTTCAGTCTGCCCAGAGCACATGAAAGATCTCTCCTCCCTCACAAGTGCAGGCCAACAAGGCAGGGAGCTTATTTATATGAAACAGATAAGTGGTTTCCAAGGCACAAGTCATCCCAGGACTCTGGCAGTTCTCATCCGTGAGCAGGTCCTGTGACTCCAAAATACACGTACTTCAGAGTTTTCCTTTAGTTTGAGAATATCTAGCCATTAATACCATAATTTGCTAGTCTCTGCTATCCTTGAACACACATCCTATTTTCATTTTATTCTGAAAAAATTCCTTAAGTTTGTGGTTTTAGCTTTTAAAGTTCTAAATCTATTTGATCACATTCTTTGTGCTTTTTCTTCTCTTAAAATTAAAAAGAAACAAACAAGCATGTCTTTTATTTGAGTGGGTGGGCAAAGATTTACTGACCCCAGAAAGTCCACAAGGGGATGGACTGCTCTGGGGACCTGTGACATGTCTTGTAGGCATATTTTGAAACCGCTGATGAGTGAGGATCCAAGTTACTAGATAGTCTGGCTCTTCTTTGTACACTTAAGACTTGATCAAGTTCACTCCAAACCTCCTTTACAATACCCATCACCTTACAAAAACCTTTCTTTAATGTCAGTCTTCTTTCGCAGAGTTCCCAGATTCTGAAATAACTAGGTTCAATGCCCTGAAATTTAATTTTACAACAGATTTGTTTTAAACCTTAAGCATCATTGCATTTAGTCAACAGTAAGGAAAGTTAATATATTTTTTTAGCATCATATTAATAGAGGGATTTCATTAAGAAACTACCTGCTGCAGATAAAGGACAAAAACTAATTCTTCATGAATCAAAGAGTATGGTCAAGATCCGTATTCACAAAGATAAGGCTTGGTTTTTTATTTATAGCTATCTTCTGTGAAACATAATCAGCATGAAATATTTAAGAATTTACTGAGTTACTGAGTTTTCTCAGTTGTAGAAAACAACGTTGTTTTAAATTTTTAGATTTTTCTTTCGGAGTCTTATGCTTTCAAGCCTTTGAAGTTCTGGTGTGCCTGAAGGGCTTCTCTCATGTCCTGATGATTCTTGTTTGCATATGACAAAGCATGCATTAATTGTATATTATTCTGTAGTGTCAGGTATTTTATTTCTATGTTACATTTTTCCCATTTAAACTATACAGTCTTCAAGATGAACAGGGAGGGTAGTGTCTGTGGTCTCCTCGTAGCCACCTGTGCATGGTCATGCAGAGCTGACATGGGTGCAAGTGAGAATTTTTGCGTTCGTTTCACAGGTGGGGAGCATTAAGCGGGAAATGACCTTCACATTTCAACCAGAGGACTTAAAACGGGACTCAAGTAAAAAAATGTCTCATCAGCCTTTGTTCCCCTTGGAGGAAGACATGAAAACGGTAGACACCAAAACAGTGAACCGAGCCCTTGACCATGACAAAGAAAACACCCGCTCCATCTGTCTCCTGGAGCAAAAGCGAAAAGTTGTTTCTTCCAACATTGATGTTCCTCCAGCAAGGTAAGGGGCCATGAGACCTTTTCTGTGTCTGCCCGGGAGGTTGGCACAAAGCATAGTGACTTAGGTAGGGTTTTTGGCCAAGAACTTTGCTTGTGTGAAACAGAGCTTCTGAGAAATGACTGTGAGGCTGTGGTAGTTGGAACTCCTTTAGCTCTAGAAAAGAAAATTTTATTAGATTTTTCAAAGGAATAATAAAGAGCAAAAAAAAAGTGTAAAAAAACTGAAGAGACATGGAATGTAGGACTGCGTCTAGGCACTTAACAGCAAGGACATCCAGTCTTTGGTCAGGGGCTTGGGAGCTAGGGCTGAAGGACAGATTCAGCCCTGGCCTTAGAGATGAGAGTGGTTTTACATTTTTAAAGGGTTAAAAAATATGGAGACTATGTAATATAGATCATAGGTAGCCTGCAAAGCCTAAAATACTTATGTCACTCATTACAGAAAAAGTTTGGCAATTCCTGGTTTATATCTTGGTAATCCTTTTAAGACAGATCTGCCTTAAAACAGGGCCAACAGAATTTATCTGAAGTATCAAAAGGCTTCTATCACATTATAATTTTATTTAAGCCATATCTGGTACGGTTGAACCAGGGACAACATTATGGCAGAATGACAATGAACAGTAACAGAATATACACATGAGAACTTCTGCAGATTTTCTTGCTTATCATTTATCTCACCTAGATTTTGGGGGCATCCAAAAAATTGGCATGTCTCTCATAGTGAGGTATCATAATTCTCATTTTACAAGTGAGTAAAGCAGACTCAGAAATGTGACATGATCAGCCAGGAGCACCTACGACTGGGGTAGATTTCTGACCATCATTAGAGTGTATTGAAGAACATTCATTTGTTATCATTTCCATACTATGATATAACCTTAAAATGCATTGCTATTTCTAATATCACTTGCTATCCATCCTCTACAAAAAAAAAGAGAGAGAGAGAAAACTCTAAAGTTAGGCAAACCTTATTAGACAACCTAGGTCAGAGCATGCATTTGTTATTCTCTTTTGCCAGGCATTGTTTGTTTGTTTGTTTGTTTTGGACAGACTGACACAATGATACTTAAATTGGTTAGATTGCACCCAAGTGGCAATTGCAATTTGATTATACAAAGTAGTAACTGTGTTCTAATTATAACCCTAAAGCTAAAGAAATCTATTAGCAAACCAGTAGTAATGGGAATAAAGAAAATTGGGACCAAAATATTCCTATACCTGACAGCAGTTTATTAGAAACTGCCAGATTGTTAGGTTGCTATTGGGAGGAAAAAAGAAAAAGAAGAACCATACAATACTGTTTGTTTTTCAGGGTTTTAAAATGTAGTGGTATCATATTTATTACTTGCTGTATAAAATGAAATCATTTTCTTCTTATAGGATGATTCTGAGAATTGTATAGTTTGAATTTCATAAACTTGTTACTTTAGAGTTCAAAATTAGGAAATGACCTGAGCATCAAGTGATATCCTTTATGTACAATGGAAAATTGTGAGCTTAATTTGGCTACCATTTTCAGTGGTGTTATCTACATTTTCTCCTCTGTCTCTTATATTCTGCACACTGTAGAAGTCTCCTATATCACATTTGGAATTAAGTGAGAGGTAAGGCAAAATGGGTATCATTATTTCTGAATCTCCAGAGCCCAGCAGTTTCTGGAGCAAATGTTTAATGTTTAAATGCATTAACACTGTACAGGTCATAAATTCTGTGACTAGTATGAAACTACTGAAGAAGAGAGAAAGTATAAAGGTCACTTTAAGCTTATCTTATTCAATGTAAAAATATATTCATTGGGAAGAGAATATCAATGTACCCACTCATGTTGGCCAAATACTAATCCTATATAATTTGTGGACTCCTGTTAAGAACTGAAGCACTCTCTATGAAATAGCTATACAGGCATCTTTTCCAGGAAACCTTTATCCACTTTTATCCTTTTCCATCATTTTAGTAATTCAGGTCAACAATTAGCTGTTGTCCCTGCTTTCTCACTCACTCTGTCCATTTGTTAGACAGCAACCAAAAAATCTTTCTAAAGCACAAGTAAAATCATGGACAGAAGGATGGAGACAGGAAAGTGCTGGGAATGATTATAATTGACATTGACTTAATGAAATACATTGTGTCATCAAACACAATCAAGTCCTCTTGCCGGGGATTTACATTCTAAAGTCAACATGTCTTGTTGTCTTTAAATAAGTAAAGATTAGGTACAGACAAAATATTCTTTGCAATGCCTTTAATCACCTGTGAGACCCACCATGAAAGACTTGGGATCTGAAACCAATTTTAAAAAGACAGGCCTCTCTCCCTTCTTATTCTGGGGCAAAATTTCACTGAATGGAATGGTGGGATTTCTGTTTTGTGTTTTTAAAAAATAGCGCTCTCTTCCTGCCAAGTGCCTATGGTTGAATTTCTGTAATTTAAATACACATACACTGCAATTGACTTTCCTAATATTCTACAAAAACATGAAGGAAGTTAGTAAGGCAGAGAACCTTTCTGAATTGCCAGTTCTCTTTCCTGTACTAATACTGATAACATGGATTGATGATGTCTTTTCTCCTTTATAACTTAGGAAAGCTTGTGTTTTATGACATAAGTTTGACTCAGGATGTGTGTATGTGTATATAGGTGTTTTAAAGAAAACTTTACATACTTATTTGTGTTGACTTCATGACATTGAAGATTCATCAATTTCCAATAATTGTGTTATAGATCCTTTTATTATAAGCACACAATAGTATCAATTTAGAATGTGTCACCTGTTTAGAATTGCATTGTGAATTTAAAACTTGGGTTGTTAATATGAATTTTTAAAATAATTAATAATTTATGTCACTTTTCTATTTTCGAGAGCTATGCTTTCTGAATGAACTGGGTAGCTATGAAGTAAAATTCTAAAAGTGCAACATTCCCACATTTGCAGGTATTGCTTTCAAAGAGCCCTGAGATAGTTAATAATAGTTCCTTCATGTAAATCCTTTCTGGAAGCAAACTAGAGAAAATTTAACCACTGAAACTTCAGGCGGACCCATTGCACGTTGTGCTAGGTAGACCCTGGCTTTGTGGCACAGATTGCTTACACTGGAATGTTCCAGAATGCTTCAGAGGGCCATCACCCTGCTTTGGTAGCACCCATGCCATAGATCACCTCTCAGAATTGATTTATGTTTACATTTGATTCAATAACCTTTTCCTCCCTATATCTGTTCAAAGTTTAAATAGTCAGGTATAGAAATAATTGCATTCCATTGCCTCCCACTACCCACCTCCCTCTGCCAGTATCAATCCTATATTCTGCTTTTATTACAGAAAGGCATATAAATAGTTAAAGGCAAATAAATAATTAAAAGAGGTTGAGCATTTACTTATTTTAAAAGAATAACATTTGAGCAGCACTCCCCAGTAGAAAAATAATGTGAGCTACAAATGTCATTTTAAAATTTCTAATACCTATATTAAAAACAGGATGTCATTTTAAAATTTCTAATAGCTATATTAAAAACAGGGAAAATAACCTTCTATATCCAAATATCATTATTTTCTATTATCAATATAAAAGGTTATTAGTGAGATATTTACATTCTTTTCTGCATACTGGGTCTTCAAAGTCATATGTGTATTTTACTGGTACAGCACATCTCACCTTGAATTGGACACTTTCCAAGTGATCGATAACCACATGTGGAGAGTGACAAATGTGTTGGGCATTGCAACTTTCGAGTAAACTATTGGCTAAGTTGTACAGTTCAGTGAAACTTAACATTTATCCCTGAGATAGTGGTTTCTTTTTTCTACTCAGACTAATAGAGTGGAACAGTAACTTTCTGTGGCCGTGTTCCTTAAGGGTTGTGGGGGGAAAGATGCCTCCCCTATAAGACGTTTCAGCATCTGTGGCTCAGGAGATATTTAGTTGGGAAAACTCAGCATGATTCCAGTATGCCCCCTCAGGAATGACTCCCAGCTGTGTATAACTGTTATGTTAAACAATTATAATTCTTGACATATTTAAATTCCATCTAAGTCAAAGACAGGTTAAATTGGTACAGTCACAGTTATAGTTCTCTAAAAACATAAAAGCAGCTTCATTCCCAGAGTGTGAGAGAGCCTTTTTCATGGTTACTAGATGCAGTGACATCCTCTGAAGTAGCAACCCTGAAAGCCACCCCAGCACATCAAGTCAACACACTTCATGCATTTGCTATGCCTCTTTACACACTAATAACAAAATAGTTCATTAATACATGGTACTTGTAAACTTAGAAATGCAACAAATGTATCATTTAAAAAAAAGACTTCTAAGTAGGAAGGGTTTACTTTGTTATTGGCTTAAACTGTTACCAATTCTTTTAAATTTTAACTCATGTTTTCTTCCCTGCTATAGAGTTCTAAGTAGGAAAATGTTAAGGATTAAGGCTGGAAAGTTAGGCTTAACTTGGAATACTTTGGGAATTTGATTTTTATCTGTTAGGTTATAGAGAGCTCTTCAATGATACCTTTGAATGGCATTTCAGATCACTTCAGGAAGAATATGACTTTAAGCAATGGGAGGATTCTTGAAGAATGTGTTTCTATATTGGAGATAAAAATTACTTAGAAAATAGAACTTGTATCTAGTGGAGAAGAATTTGGGGGTTCTGCTGCATGTTTACCCCCAGGAAGTCCCTTGACCTCCCCCCATATGTCCAGGTCCAGGCACCACACGTGTCTCTTCTCCTGGCTACCTCGCTTTCGGGCCACCAGAGAGGTACCCTGCTCCCAGCACTGCTGTTGAAGCCTGAGCAGTCACCTGTATCTCCCACAGGTGTGATCAGGCTGGACAGAGAAAACCAAGAAGGCTTGGGTCTTTATTACCTTTTTCAAAACTAGGAAGACCCCACAATCTGCTAAGGTTAAAAAGAAGTAAAAGCCCATTTTGTGGTTTTAAAATAGTCAGTTTTTGTTTTCAAAGTGCTAGTTTGCTTGTGCAATGCTAAATTAAATTGTCAATAT